ATGTGATAGCAGATAGTGGTGACAGGTACTCTTTAAGGTGATGCTGGGGGTCCAATGCTGGGGGTCCAACCTTTACACTAGAAATAAGCTATTGAAGTGCAGGTTGCACTTCAATAGCTTATAGCTGGGCTTCAGGAGCCCAGAACTGACAGCTCTGGGACCAGAAGTGATGCAATCTGCATCGCTCCCAGTCCCATAGAGCGGGGAGGGGATCGACGAATGGAGGTATGTCCATCTCCTCCCCGGGGATACCACAGAAGACGGTCCCGGGCCCGTAGGAGGGGCAACAGCGCCCGGGAAGCACGGTGGTGGTGTCAGGCGGGGGGGGGGCCTTCACGGGACTCTAGAAGCGATCTGGCAACAGCTGAGTCGCCAGAATCTCTTCTATTGCAAAGCCGACAGCCGGCTTTACAAGTCTAAACAGAGTCCCAGCGGCAAAAGCTGCCGAAAGTCTGTTTAAACAGACCCGATGCTGGCGGGGTACACTGTACTTCGTCAGTCATGAAGGGGTTAATATGCCTTATTATGCTGTGTGTATGGTGAGGTGTGCTTCAAGTAAAGTCACCAGGATTAGTTGTTTGGTTCTAGTCTTTGACCGCCAGTTAAATTAAATTCTTCTTTTAATAAAACGGTCATGTGTTTTGTGATCTCCCTATCCAGCTTATATTAATGCATATTCGGTAGTATGCATGTACACGATCATACACAAAATAGTTTACCAGTCAGGTTTTGTCCAAATAGTCTAATGGCAGGTTAATTGTCTCTTGTCTAAACTGGCCCTAGTATGTGTGTGCATGTATACAAAATAGGGACCTTAGATTGTAAATCCTTGTGACCAGGGACTAATGTGAATGTAGAATATGTAAAGCGCTGTGTAAATTGTTGGCGCTATATAAATACCTATAATAAAGAAAGAAATTAATAAATGGCATCTTATGTATAGCACCAGCTTAGAAGAAAGCAATACTAAGAGAATCATGAAGGCTTCTACAGCTGACCTTCTGAAAACCCTAGTTTCATGGTTGTTACTTGACAATAAACATACAAGTGACATGGATTGGATGAATGCTTTCTGCCCCCCTGACAGTCTTAGAGATTGTTCCACTTTTGCTGGAATTCTTTATTGACATGTATGTGACAGACCGCTTGGTACCCCGACTGGGTACCTCCGTCAGAAATCAGCTTCCTCTCTGCTAGAACCTGAATTCCAGTGTCCTCAGCCCAAACCTGCCTAATTATTGGACAGAACCAATATCTCAGGACAGAACGCTAACCTCCTCAATCATTAGACACCAATGTTGAGGTGGAAACCAAGAACTGCTTTATTGAAGGAAGCACACAGAGTTTATACCTCACAGGATCAGATTAGAGTGCAGTGTGCCCCCTCCCCCAGACAGCTAGGTGCCGCATTGGAAGTCTTTTAAGCACAGACACTCTTTGAACTTAATGAATGTCCTTAATCAGATCATCCCAACAATTGCCCCTCCAGACAGCCTGCTGCCTATACTGAACACAGTGATGTGTGTCTGTAATGTCGGGGAAACAGAAACAGGAACCATACCGCACTCCTTACCGGGATTCCCACTTGATGAAGATGGGTGCTCGAAATGACTGCGGATGGCACCGCCACACATGAACAGTAGAAAAATTTCACCAGCACACCATGAGTTGAAAAACCAAAATATTTTATTGCCAGTAGCTGTATCTCATTGGCAAGCGCTTTCGGGGCCTCGCAGGGTCCCCTTCATCAGGCTTAGAGATGTAATGTCGGGGAAAACATGCAGTACATCCCTCCACACATATCCTAGGAGAATGGTTCCATGTAACCCAAAGAGGTCTGAGGGGGTCTCCATAGTTCTGGGTCCATAGTCCGTAGGAAGGAGGCTAGCCCTCAGGCTCCTCCAGCAGCCCCAGTGACGGTTCAGTCCGTCACAATGTATATGTATACAAATATAAATAAAAGCATGTAAAAGTAGGAATTAATTTGTTAAATAGCATCATCACAAGAATTAACCACATACCATTATCAGAGTACACTGTGTCTGCAATAGGGCTCTTGCTGGATTGCTCCAAATTTGCAATAATTTAACCTATAGCAGTAATTGTGTAGTTATACTACTAGTGTGTAATAAATGTTGTCCATTATTAAGTGAATTTCCCATATTTTTTAGTCCAGTCCCTGTCCAGCTCTTTGTCAATATCTTTAATCAGGTTTGGGAACACATTGCTATTTGCAATGTATGAAGATTTTAAAAATAATTTCTCCTTATATGTGGCAGAATACCAGTGATAGGATTTGTGTGCACATGATGCAGTGAGGGAGAAGAGTTGCAGTCCTGGGGATACTGTGACCCAGATTAACCTCTGGTTCATGTAGATAGAGAAGTTTACAGATCAATTGCTCCATGCTGATGTTAGTCATGTGTCATGTACTTTGATGGTGTTCACTAGTGCCAAGACAGCAGGATATTTGACTTTGAAGTTTTGATTTTGTTTTCCCAGGAGGGGTGTAACTGCTGAATGCCCAGTAATATTATACAGAGTACAGACTTATCTTTTTTAGCATATGACAGATTAAAAATAAATAGGTAATCATGCTTCCTTTATTGTGATCCCAAATAGGTTTTCCATGGTAAACAAAACTGTTACCCCTGTTCAGTACCAATTAATTTTGAAATACCTACCATGCCTTAAAGAGAGCATTGGGTTAATGTGACTGTTGTCTAATGTTTAAAGCCCAATTTAATTTTAAATCGGCTAAATATATTCCAGGTACATGAAAATAAAAGGTGTGTATAGTCTTACAGTTCATTTATTTAGAAAGCAGCCACAGCCTGAGTAGAAAAGCCTGTCCCATGCCAGCATGCTGCAGAAAAAGACCCTTGCACTCGGGGTGGAATTAATAGTCTCTCTGCCTAGCATTATTATTTTAAAGTAATCATAAATTCATTTTAAATAATAAGCATTGCTATGTGATAAATACAAGTGAAATATTGTTGCTCCTCATAATACAGGCAACCCTAGAAATAACTGTAGCAACAGATCTATAGAATAATGAACACATACCACTATACATGAATTCTAATGTTATTATCCGCTTATATCAGATGCCCACCATGCAGGTACACTTGGATAAGTGAACAGCCCCTATCTGGGTCCCCCCCCC